TATATATATATATATATATATAGGTGCATTTGATTCCCACAGAATTCTTCAACCAGCTTCGACAAAAGGGTCACCTGATTGATTTACAAATTGTCATATTTGAAATGAAAAAACTCTTATTTTACAATAATTTATTAAAAATTAGACAAAGGGGAATCGCAAGATTCCAGTTCGCCGATCGTTCCTTTATGCCAAGTTTCGCAGAATTATGAACCAATTACTGCATGATCAAGGTTCGACTATGAAATGACATCGATTATCTACCGAGTACATACAAATTCGTTTTTTCTTCATTGTTGATTCATTTCAGACTTGTCGTATCTGTGATAGACTTCGTCTACACAGGCAAAATTGGAAGTAGCGCGAGCACGGTGGGTCAGATCTATTTATTGGCACATCAACTTGGATCACAATCCCTAATTGATATTCGTCGAAACTTTGTTGTAGAGAGGTCATTGATTGTTAATTGTTCTTCACATTTGCGATTCCTTTGGGATTCTTGTCAAGCACACAGGGCATATATTTCAAATCATGCTCTTAATATTAACGAGAACCGTAAATGAAGAAAAGAGTACAAAATGGTGTAGGAACTGGAAAAGAGGGGGTAAGCGTCAGTAGTGAGAGGTGAAACGGATGGCAGATATTGTCTCATTAGCCGATAAAAATGCGAATGTATGTTCACTAACGTGGTATCGATTAGCTCAACTGTAGGTTATCGTGGGTATACCTTAGGTCATTCGCTCATCCCATCTTCTTTAGATTTGATCAAATCAATGTCAATGAGATTTGGATGGTCAGCTTCATTCTAAGCAAACCTGATGGGAGGGGTCAATGCATTCTCAAGTTTGCATGTGACTTCGATTTTTTCGCCAAGGATCAGAAGTGGGTGCGATGGACAACCGCAAAGGACATGGAGACACTTCTGAGTAGCCCCTGGTTATGGGCCCCAAGTGAGGGCTCGAAGTTGGAAGTAATAGCTTCATGGATAAACGCAGCTACTTCTTCATGTGAAAGAGGCACCCTTGAAACGTCCTTCGCACATTTTCTCTCAACACTAAACATTAAAAACATTTCAGCATCCTTTATTGCTGAAGGGTTCATGGGGGGGGGGGGGTCAGCCATTATCCTTCCAATATAATTTAATTTGAGCTTATTTTTTCCAAGACGTATACTTCTAGATTACTTGAAAATGTGTGACAAATCTAGAGAAAATAAGTGAGTAAATATTTGTCAAACGATTCACTGGCAACAGGAGAATACGATGAAAACAATGAAACTGACACATCTTTTCTATCAACTGTGCCAAAGTTAAGGAAATTGAAACAGAGCTGAAAATCCCAAACAGAAGCTGCAGCTGCATAATTGTTTGTGATGGTAAGTTGCAAGTTCATCACCGTCTTTTGTGCCAATACCACATAGGTCCAAATCTGATCTCTCCATCATTTTAGAATATATTTATGTGATTGGAGGTAGGACAAAGGAAGTGATCACTTGTTCCAGTGCTTTAAAGGTTTATCCCTGCAATGGCGACATGAAGGGGACAAAGTCAATGACCCAGAGTAGAAGTTATGCCTCTGCGGTTACTGTCAAACAAGAAATTCTTGTTTTTGGGGGACTCAACATATTGCATGCAAATCACGTTCTTAGCACTTGTGAGGAATATTCTCCATTGGATGACGAGTGAGTATTGGATTTTTCCGTCGTGATAAACTCTTCGAAATGTCATTGATGAATTGATTAAAATATCCTAGGCGTTTAGGATTACAGCTTCTGCTTCCAGCCCTCATACCTTAAATTCAGGTTTCTAGAAAATTGAATGGCCATGTCTTTGGTAACTTGTCGGATCCACGAGGAGGTCATTATTTTTCGTCTTCCAGTCCCACAATTCTTCTGTGAGTTCAACAGAGTATATGCTCCAAAGGTATGAGGATGAATAAAAAATTGCAATGGCTTGACAAGGTTACCACACGTAGTTGGAGCAAAATGGAGACCATCATCACAGTTATTTGAGAGAGTAGAACATATCACTAATTCCATTGTGGCATTATTATTACAATTCACTGATAATTATTGCCACATTTGATTGGTGAGTTTCTAGGTCATTAAAGCCAATTTACGCATTGCAGATGGAAAGGCTTTCCCGATATGTCCACAGGCAGATGTGAAAGTGGAGCAGTACAGATATCGGATCTTGGAGTTTTAGTTCTTGGTGGAGCAGCAGAATATGGTGGAACGGCATTGAATACTGTCGAATTGCTTCAAAGTTCTGCAGACAATTCGTCTTGGTGCTCATTTTCTCCGTTTTTTCAACCAAGGTCCACTCCTACAGTGGAATTCTTCAAGGAATGCGTCTACGTTGCCAGTTCTTTAAATACTTGCATACAGTCTACAGAAGTTCTATCCATAACTGATGGCCGGCCAGGTCAGTGGACGTTGGTTTCGCATTATCTTTTCAGCGATAGCCGTTTATCTCCAATGTTGGCAGTGAGTGACCATCTCCACATTGAAAGTAAGTATCTGTATATTTTCATGTTGTGCTCACAAGCCAACACCGCCTCTCTCATTGTCAAACCTTAAAAGAGATGTAAATGGAGATATTTACGAACTGAAACGCCTCATGAAGACAATGTGAGACAATTGCATCTAATTTAATAATAACTATAAATCAATAACTGTTGAAACGCGTACCTGTTGTAAGAAAGGAATCGAAGTGATAACAGTTGGAGACATCGGAGACATCATTTCGCCTTCTCAAGTGCACTCGTGCAGGCACGAAGGTGCGGCCGTGCAACTTCGCGTTGGGTGTAAATGCTCGCAAAAGTAGAGAGAACAGTCATCCAACCACTAATCAATATTCCTTACATGATTTAACTACCCCCCCCCCCCCCTCCCATTGTAGAATACTGACTTGGCTCTCTGTCAGTAACATCTTTCCCCTATTAACGCTTTCCTCGACAAGTCAGTTTCCTCTTT